AGAGCGTACGTTAGCCAGTACGATGGTGGGGATAGCTGGCTTGTGTGGGTTCTGCCCACTTTTGGAGTTCACGCCCCATTTTGGAGATCTCCGGTCTGCAGTTATACCTACTTGGAGACACGCAGCATTATTCTATGTGGTGACGTAATTTCTGCTGAAACAGGAAGACAGGGCGGGACATATCGAGGAGCCCCGCCCCATTTTTAAATGATCCAATAGCGTTTTGTTTATCTGCACGGGTCAGAGCCGTTGAGCTTGATAAAGCCGCATTTGACAGCCACAGTCTAATAGATTACCCCCTAGATTCAATATGAAACTCTTAGTAAAACAAAATAGTGGTCATAATCATGCTGAGGCTGTGTAGTTTTAAAAGTTTTTAATATATGCCGACTCCCGCATATGATCCGCTCCGTGCGATCGTGTCGCTGGACCGGAGCCAAAGTCTGGATCAGACTGATGCCGCGGTTCGCGTGACACAACGTGAAACCAGACCTCATTTGCACCAATCAAAAGCATATTTACACTATCTGAATCTTTTCTTATCACGTACATTGTACACTAAGTGCCATTAACTGTACAGAAAATACTACTCTGTGAACAAGTGACCGATCTCAGCTGCAGCTTCAGCGTCTATTTATAGTGTAGGGGGCGGGCGCTTCGGCTTCTAGAGAGCGTTTGATTGGTCAGAAGATTTGATGAGAAGACAAAAAAATCGTTGAGCCGTTTTGGTGGAAGTGATGAACTAAAAGCTTTGAATGCTTATATCTTCTAAATGCGAATTTTGTTACTGTTTTGGAGCACACTGCCTTATAGATAACCTTAAGACTAACATATTAATACTAACACCCAAAAAACTTTAATTTTGATTTCATGGGGACTTTAACACTGTTGTGTTTTTTTTCATGCCCATGGAATGCGAATTTTACCAGGGGAACCCCGCCAAAACACGTGTATGTTATCTCCAGAACGATGTTTAACGGGGGACCCCCTTTCGAAACGCGATTGGGCTAGTTTTGAGTAGCGATTGGGCGGGTCTTGCTGTGAAAACCTGGCAACCCTGATTACAACATGGTGCCTTTCAACATTTGACTCTCAAGTTTAGGGAAAAAACCACAGGTGTTGCTTGACGTGTTTAGGAGTGCTTCACTCACCCATTAAAGTTTCCATTAAAATTTGTGATTATGTGATCTCATTAAAAAAGTGACTGCAGTAAGGTTATTTCACTCAGAATGAAAGTTTCATTATCGGTAAACGGCCATGGCGGATGAATCGCATATCTTCCATTGATGTGGGCGGAGCAAAGTAGCCTACTAAAATTGTGACCCATTCATTATTTTTAGCGCGAAACATACAAGTCTAATTCTCGAGTGAATGACTCTGATGAGCCGGTTCATTTTAGAGAATCACAAAAATACAGCTCGACATGAAGCCTAATTCCAAACATAATGCCAAGATATTGATTCATAAGAGTCGGATCTTTTGGTGAATCAAAACCAGTGAATCGACAAGTGAAGTCTGGTCCCTCAGGACTCTTAGTCTGTTTTTTTTGGAAATACAGAAAAACTTGAATCAGTTGCAGCAGCATCGCATTCTCACACTTACTACTAACCTTAATTGAGGTTGTAGGCCTACAATATAGGCTACTGTAAGGCTCGGGAGACAATGTGCCACATTTTTTTTATGAATTCTTATGTAAAATTAACAACAGAATTGCATTTGTTCCTCAAATTTAAAATAATTGTTAATGGAACCATTAAAGAACCAGAAATAAATTACTCAACATAGAATGCAATCAAATGTGCCACCATTTCTAAATGTTTTAGTGGTTTTAAATTATTTGTGAGTTATCAGTCAAGCAGATTTTAACCTCAGAACCTCTTGCAAGGAATATTGCTTTGAGCCACATCAGCTGAAGCTCAGGTAACCCCCTCAGAGTGAAAACTTAGCCCTGAAATAAGCCCTGAAAAACTTCCTTGGAAATTATGTATTACATAAGATCTGTACTAAACATGAGTGGGTGCAAATTAGCTTTGATATGCTGTGAATGTTTTGGTGATTAGGGAAATGAGATTTATCTTGCTGCTTGTGAATTTTTTTGTCGTCTTTTTCTCCTGCAGGGAGCTACGACTGAGCCTGAAGAGGTGGATAGACTGGAAGAGATTGCAGGTTGCTCTCATCCTGAGAATCCAGAGCATACAGAGCTGAAGTCCCTGTCTGAGTCTGTAACCATGGAGACAAGTGAAAACTCCGGCACAGCAAACATAATTGACTGTGAAATGGAAGTCCTGGAGACTGAGTTACCTGATAGCAAGGACACAGGAAACAAAGATGAACAAGTCTGTTATGATGCTGACGCTTTAGAGTCCATTAGTACAAAAGTTGTGGCTGATATTTTAGCAGGCTTACCTCCTACGGAGACCAAGGTTGATGATCTGGAAGATGTTTGCAGTCCAAAAGAGGCACTTGTCTTGGAGGATACTCAAGAAGAACTTTACCGCAATGAGTCAATTACTTCTTCAATATCCGACACTCCTTCAAGTGCTGAGAGCGTATATGAGAATGAAGCCATGCATAAGAGGCAAGATTCACTAAGACAGGAACCATTGGAGAACATTGCACCCCAACCAGATAATGTTGACGATGGAGATATGTTAGACCCATTGGGTATAGACTCACAAGAAGCCATCTTAGAAAGTTTTGGATGTGAGGATCCAGAAGAAACCATCCTTGAGCACTACATCCAAGAGGAAGTTCTGTCAGATGTCTCCACAGAGTCTTGCCGTGACCCAGACGAACTAGAAGAGTGTCTTCGGGTCGAAATAGCTGCGGTGTCATCGGACAGTGAAAACGATGAGAAATGGAGGAGCATATTCTCTTCCTCCATAAATAAGGAAGATGATGATTCCTACATTGACATCCTTGAGCTGAGTGCACAAGAACTCTTTATTCAAAAACCTGCAGTACGGAATACTGAGGACGCTTCAAAGGAAACTGAAGAGCTGGAGGTTCCGCTGGGAGAAGAAGTGCTAGAACAACCGGAGAATGAGCCAGTTCAGCAACCGCAAGATATATCTTACAGTCCTTCCACACTGTTTCATGGCTTGTCCAAGATTTCCGAAGACGATGAGGAGCTTGGACGAGGCTCAGCAACCCACAAGAACAATTCATTTGATTCTGTCAAATCCGATTCCAGCAAAAAGGTGCCGAAAGATTATTGTGTGATTCAGGAAATGAAAAGCGAGAACGTCAGCACAGAACATGTGGATTTCAAAGTTGCTCGCCAACAGTGGCTAGAGATCGAAGAGCAAACGAAAAACTTGACGCACCATCCAAGCACACCAACAACTCGATCTGTCACCTGCCAAGGTATACTGCACAGCTTCATGTATACACCAGTCCGCAACATCAAAAGGCCCAAGAGGGACCTTGAGAGCTTGACGCTTGTAGAGGATTACGTGCACACCCAGTTCAGCCCTTGCTCTGAGGATTCAGGTCTGGACGACTCTAGTTACAGATCACCGTTTGATGACCCAGAGACCCAAATTGAGAAGGAGATTCGCCTAACCATGGAGCGTGAGGAGAACCTGAGGCGTGAGAGGGGAATGTCAAAATCATACTCCAGTGACTGTGTACAGATGAGGCCAAGAACGGCCAACTTTAACACTGGAAACCTATGCCAAGAAGTCAATGAGAAAAGGAAGATGTTTGAAGACCAGGATGATGAGGAAAGTTTATCCAAGTCTCTCAAGACGCCTTGTTTCATCATCACCTCCTCACCAACCAAGAGCGCACAGAAACAAGACTTGAGCGCCAACAATGTTATTATTCTTGAGCCAGAGCCTTTCCCTCCAAGTCCACGGCATGGAAAGATGGTGTCCTCCAAATCTGCTGACTGGAGACCTGAAGACAGCCCTAATGTCATCATTTTGGAGACATCAAACCTCACCATTCGAAGTGCATCTGAGTTAAACTTGAATTATGTCTCTGAGGAAACCCAGGAGAAGATGTTCCTCAACAACCCGTTTTTCAAGCTGCGGTCCAGGAGTTCGATATCTCTAGTTGATGAGGAGATTAAGATGGTGAAGCAGCGAGAAGAGGAACTCAAGCATCAAAGGGCCAGTATTTACTCGAAGGATCACTTCTTGATGTCTCCAAACCATTTGGACAGCTCATCGTTTACAGGTACTGCATGTTAACAGAGAAATAGACAAAATTTTTCATTCCATTGATCTGAAGTAATGACAACATCACTAAGACTGCAAACACATGCATGTCATGAAATGTTGTCAGAAAATGATCTGTTCATTCTTGGTTGTTAATTTATTTTCAGATGATGTGCCAATTAAATGTAAATCATCCCCTTCATCTCCAATGAGAACATGCAGAATGGATCGTTCAGCTTTGTCATGTGATCATCGAGTAAGTATATGAAAACATATGTGCAGTGTCACAATAAAAGTTGAATTTAGTTACATATATCTACTATATGGAATTGAAATGATCTGTAACTAAAAATAAAACTGTTTATATTAGGTTGCTCAGAGGTTGTAGAAATGTTTTCAAAGAGAACTAACTTTCATTGTCCTATAGTTTCTTGAACCCTATACTGGAGGCCGACGTAAAAGTTCCATGGCGCTGCGCTGGGAGGCAGGGGAGTTTGTGAACAATGAGTAAAATTGGACACTGATCACTTTGCAGCTGTTTTACGTGAGAGAATTTTCAATGCTCACACTCGTCTGTTTATTGTGACAGCATATACACTTGCTACTGCTGCTTGTGTGACTTTGTTATTGATCCAGAAAAAAAATCTGCATATGCCGAGATGCCTAAATGTTATTTGAATGTACCGTTTCATGCATATTTGTGATTCCTCTTTGACGAGGTATCTGGAGACTTATAAACCATATTTTTAGTGTTTTGTCTACGAAGTTGAGGAGAATATGTACTGTATATTCATATTGTATTTTCTTGTAAGGCAATGTTTGTATATCCCTAAATTATATGAAAATATGAAGCAGTATTACAGGGTTTTAGGATAAAATTTAAGTGAAAATGTATACAAAATCTATGTATTTTGTTAAATATCACTGAAAACAGATCAATTAGTATCTTTTGACAAAGGACTATTCCTTTTTTAAAGAATTGATCTGAATTTGATTGCTATGATTGCTCTAATAATATAGGACTACATTTCCAGATTACATTTCAGTACTTCAGTTATACTTAGTATGAAAAGCTTAAATCTAGTATTTAGTAATGATATTAATCTTAGAAAATAATCTATTATTTAAAAATGACCTGTTGCTTTGTTGTCCACGGATTGTGTATATTTATGTCAAACCGCCATGCTTATAAAACAGTGTTGCTTGCTAAAATTTGAATCCAAGTCAGTCTCAAGAATATACTTGCTTTGCATACCGTTTGAACAACCGTGTTCAAAATACAAATTAAGAAATAAATGTCAATTAAAGGCAGTTGTCAATTTATACTAAAACAGTTGATTATGTTGACGAGGAACCGCACCATATTGTCTTTGTATTAAAATAACTCTTCACAGGAGAAAAAACTTCCTCATACACAGAATTACTGCACACACATTACTTTGGCAGCCTTTGAAATAATTAATTCATCAAAAGTTTAAAATAGAGAGCCAGCAGCACAGCTACCCATGATCCTAAAGGGCTAAAATAACAGTGTAAAGACACATATTAATACAAAATGTATGAACATATTCTAGAAGAGAAATCTAGCAACACAGTTTAATTTCACAAGTTTTATTTAAAAAGATGATTGATCTGTCACAGATTGTCATCTGTGCAAAAACTTCAAATAAATGGTCCACTTCATCCAAACTATATTCAGTCTTTGTACAGAATGGATACACTGTTAATAATATTTACATTTCAGGCAACAGTAACAGTCTTTAAATCCACAAATCAATATTAGGCACTAGAATCTAGAATAAGGTGGTTAAAACATGATTATTTCATATTTAGAAAAAGACATACACAGCATCAAGACCGATCTGTAAACATTGTTAATTAAATGCGGTCACCAAATCACACAAAGGAAAAAATGTTCTTCAGATGCAATACAAACTTAAAGCAGATCAGGAACAGACATTTAAATAACAAGCTGACATTGTTCTTTACTACAAATAATTTTATAGGTTAGCCATTGTGTACATATATAATAAAAACATTAATTACAAAAAGTGCTAAAAAATATATACTAAATTGATTTATACCTAAGCAGTCAAGAAATGCAATTTCAAATCAGACAAATTCATTCTAATGATCACTGTAAATTGACAGGTGGCCCGTCATAAATCAATCTTACTCCATATTTCTTTGGCTTGTTTTAAAATAGGCACGATTAGTTAAAGTTCCAGAGACTAAATGTGGAAACGACTGCTGAGATTGTGTCATACTGCTCTGATACTCCAAAGGAGAGTAGTCAGAAATCCCAGATTTCCACAGAGATAAATAGCCAGAACTATGTTTTTAAAACAAGATTCCTGGAAAAAGAAAAAAGAAAATGCAATGGACATATTGCATTAATATACAGTATCATTAATGAAATGCACATGTTTATCATGAACAAGTAAACACAAACTCAACTCACCATGCTATAAGTCTCATTCTCATCAGGAACAAACACAACCTCCTCTTTGTCGTCAAAATTGATATGTTCAGTGTAGATTTTGACATTTTTTAAATATTTACCTGAAAAACACATACACATAAAATGCACTACTACCATTAATAAATAATAATTATAATACCTTTTAGAATTTTTTGATTTCTGCATAAATATGACCCAAAGCACCATCAGTTATTCACACAGTTCCTAAAAGTAGACAAAGAGAACCCAATCAAACAAAGGAGACAAAATATTATACTTGGTCATTTATTTATTCAGGAAATTGATCCAATATTACATATCTGTGAGTGACAAAAGTATGTAGGATTAGTAGTTAATCTGAAGGTGAAATTAGGCTACATCTGTTCCGAGATGTTTTCAATCAGATGTCAGTGTGTGCCCTGTTTTATTTAAAGAACCGGGATCTAGCAAAGCCTGAACTTCACAACACATGTTTGTGGAAGTGTATCATGGCACGGACAAAGGAGATTTCTGAGGACCTCAGAAAAAGATCTGTTGTTGCTCATCAGACTGGAAAAGGTTATAAAACCATCTCCAAAGAGTTTGGAATCCACAAATCCACAGTCAAACAGATTGTGTACAAATGGAGGAAATTCAAGACAATTGCTATCCTCCCCAGGAGTGCTCGATCAACAAAGACCATTCCAAAAGCAAAACGTGTAATGGTACGTGAAGTGACAAAGGATCCCAGGGTAACTTCTAAGCAAATAAAAGTCTCTCTCACTTTGGCTGATGTTAATGTTCATGAGTCCACCATCGGGAGAACACTGAACAAGTTGCAAGGAGAACGCCACTGCTCTCCAAAAAGAACATTGCTGCCCATCTGTAGTTTGCTGAAGAACACATGGACAAGCCAGAGGGCTATTGGAAAAATGTTTTGTGGATGGATGAGACAAAAAAAAAACATTTTGGTTTAAATGAGAAACGTTATGTTTGGAGAAAAGAACATACTGAAACCTTAAAGCATAAAACCTTATCCCATCTGTGAAACATGGTGGTGGTAGTATCATGGTTTGGGCCTGTTTTGCTGCATCTGGGCCAGGACGGCTTGCCATCATTGATGAAACAATGAATTCTGAATTATACCAGCAAATTCTAAGGGAAAATGTCAGGACATCTGTCTGTGAACTGAATCTCCAGAGAAAGTGGGTCATGCAGCAAGACAACGACCCCAAGAACACAAGTTGTTCTACCAATGAATGGTTAAAGAAGAACAAAGTTGATGTTTTGGAATGACTGAGTCAAATTCTGGACCTTAATCCAATTGAAATGTTGTGGAAGGACTTGAAGAAAGCAGTTCATGTGAAGAAACCCACCGACATCCCAGAGCTGACGCTGTTCTGTATTGAGGAATGGGCTAAATTTCCTCCATGTCATTTTGCAGGACTGATCAGCAGTTACCGGAAACATTTAGTTGCTGTTATTGCTGCACAAGAGGGTCACACCAGATACTGAAAGCAAGAGTTTATCCACTCACAGATATATAATACTGGATCATTTTTATCAATAAATAATTTACAAAGTATGTATTTTTGTCTCATTTGTTTGATTGGGTTCTCTTAGTCTACCTTTAGGACTTTTGTGAACATCTGATGATGTTTTGGGTCATATTCATGCAGAAATATAGAAAATTCTAAAAGGTTCACAAACTTTCAAGCAGCACTGTATATAAGAAATAATCACCTTTACAATAAAGAATAATGCATCCACAAATAACATGTCTTTTTTTTCTAGTTTAAAAACATATTGTTTTGCTCTGAAAGGTTGTGGCATTTCAAACTGATTAGCATTCAACCCAACATGTCAATTACTAATGCAGTATAATAAAACCTTTTACAATTTAATGGATTCATACAGCACAACCGATTTCCTGCATAGATGCAAAGAAACACTACTCATACAATAAATAAATGCTCTGAAAAGGAATCCAGGTACAGAACACATGACTGAGGGTGGTTTACTGACCTATAGGTAAAAACCCCCTTCGATGGACTTCCAGAACCAAATCTGCCAGCACAAACCACACCACAAGGAATGCCAAGACCCCTGTGGACCACGGAGCAGGCAGGGACAGAGCTTGCTGATGGATCCCGAGGAAGATGGTGACAACTAAATCATGAAAACACACAGCTTGGTTATGACAGTGTTTAAAAACACATACTGCTAATATTTCAGGCACCCTGAACTAATATTATAAATCATAACACCAGACATAAAAACAGGCTAGCCTCCATAAAAGCAAACTATAAAATATTATATGATACGCAATCAACTACAATAATAAAAAAAAAAAATTGTCAAAACTCAATTATATTGAACTTAGCCGCTTTCTGTTGGCAGCATTGTTGTTAAAATGGATCTGAGTCACATAATAACCCATTTGAGACTTTTGACATCATTGTTTCTTACCAGCCACGACTTGAGCAACTGTTCCTGTCCCAAAATGCATCCAGTTGAAGATATATCTCCTGAGAGCAGGTTATACAGAAAACACATGTAAAAACATGACTATTTTAATCAAAATTAATATTATGAATTAGTGATCTACACCGTTTCTAAAATAGTATAGACCTCAACAGACAGCCCTGTATACTGGAATTACTTAATGTCATACTAACTTTTGCAATATGTATACTGTGTTCACCATTCACAAGTAATAAAGCTCCTGACAAACAAAAGGGATTTGTGTATGTTCAAATGTCATACCATCATACAACTCATACTATTTTTGCAGTATGCATACTGTGTGTTCAACATTTTTATAACGTATTATAGTCACTGACACAGGATTCAGATGCTTTGTAGAATGTTCAGTTCAGTAAGAAATCTGGGATTGGTAAGATTAAAAAAAAATGTCTCTTATGCTCACCAAGGCTGAATTTATTTGATCAAAAATACAGTTTTATGAAACACTATACAGTTATATTATGTAATATTATTAGAATTTAAAATAATTGTTTTCTATTTTTACATATTTTAAAATGTAAATTATTCCTGTGATTAGCAAAGGCAAATTTGTAGCAGCCATTAGTCAGAAATCATTCTGATATGCTGATTTGGAGCTCAAGAAATATTACTTATTATTATCAATGTTGAAAACAGTTGTGCTGCATAATATCTATACAGGTATTTATATATATATATATATATATATATATATATAATATGTATATAATAAACTGATACATTTTTTTCAGAACCTTATTTAAAATAGAAATCTTTTGTAACCATATAAATGTCTTTACTGTGACTTATTAATGTGTCCTTGCTGGGAAAAAAAAGTATTCATTTATTTGAAACAGTAGTGTACAAAAGGCATTTAAAATATCCTTATAAAAACAAATTAAGAGCTCTGTATATGTTCAGAATACCATAATTCTCATACTATTTCTCACACACTATGTAATAGAAAACCCAGATGATCCACAACATTTGCCAGATTGTGTGACATTTTATCCCAATTTGACAACAATATGGCAACACAGCAATGTATTGTGACAATTTAGCATAAACACTTAATGTAACATATTTGATGTGTAATATACTGAAAAAAAAAAATAGATTAGAAAATATGCAGTACATAGTAAATACTGCGTTGTATGCTAATAGTTCATTCTGGACATTTCCTTTCTTGGCTGTATTGTGAATGCGCTGTACTGTTACCAGGATTTACCTTGAGGCATCTGGCGCAGGTCTGAAAAGTGCCATGACAGGTTGGATGACAGCGAGTGCCATGACAACACAGCCCAAATAGGGGTGTATGCCCGCACGCTGTGGACAACAGAATACAGATTAGAATCCACTGTACACATGAAGCTAAAGTTGTCAACAAACTTTGATTCAACAAACTTCATGAAGAAATTAGTTATGACAGGAAACAGCTTTTCAAAGGGTGCAAAAGTACAAGGTTAATGGGTATTATTTTGTGTGGGGGCAGGTTTGGCGACCGTTGCCATGGAACAGGGCGTCCTCTGCTGGTCATACACAGGAAGTGACAGAACCTGACAGATACTTTGGCAAGAGGGATGTCACAGATGCCCCTGTTGAGTCACAAATGTGTCCTTACGGATGGATACACGTGTCGGCTTGAAGCTCAAATAAACCAACACTTGCAGACTTAATAAGACACTCAATCAACACTGTGCTTGATTAATCCTTGAGGAAAAGTGGGTGTGTTTTTCAGAAATGGGCCAAAAAGATGCCACATGGTGGGTCGCTTCTAATGAACATGGGATATTCATTCGCCTGCTTTTTATTCTGAGCAGGCAGCATGTGGGTCTGACACATTGGCAGCAGTGTTGAACAGTCAGAGGTGTGTGATGAAGGGGGTGAAAATATGACACACTCTTAAAGCATGAGTATTACTCACATTTATGTGCGTGTTGGTGTGTGTGTTACCTTGCTCCAGCCTCCTCTGTACATAAAAGGCAAAACAAAGCCGACCAAGGTGAGCAGAACTGTGATGGTCATTAGCATTCGATGTAACTGTGGAAACAGAAGCCTTGAATATGATGCACATGTGAAACTTTGCTGAAATCCTCATTGTATCAAATAAGCACCTACCTGAAACCAGACCTTCTGCCCCAAAATATTCCTTTCAGGCCAATCAGGTTTGAAGTATCGTGCCATGATGACACCAGCACTGACCGTCGATGTCCAGGCGATCAGCATGAAAGCCCCTGTAGATACAAACAGACAATGAGTCTCAGATCAGTCTGCAGAAACCAGATGTTATCTATAAAACTTTTAGATTTTTGTAAATGATGCCACAAGGGCATTACTATGAGAATACTAGCGTGTTCTGGGTGTTTGCTGATTGATGTTTCCTGCCCCAAGAGCCCAAAACTGTTTTATTTGAGTATTATTTATATACTATTATAGTACATGGTACTATATTTAATTAGCTTTTATTTTTACATTTTCATTTATTTGATCGCATTTATTTTAAATTTTGTAACATGAGATCTCACAGTACTTAACATTTTTGCTTTTATTTTTATATTTTCAGTTTTATTTTTAGTTTAAGTAATTTTATGTGCTTTTGCTATTTTTGTTTTTATTTAGCATTCATTTTTATTTGAGTTTTAGTTTACTAATTTTTGTACTTCAACATAAACCAATTTAAACCAAACATAAACCAATTATTTCAGTTAGATGCCATGTCAACATTTCTAATTTTCATTTCAGTTATTTTTTTATTTAATATTAATGTTTTATTTTATTTCAGCTTTATTTCAATTAACAATTCTTATAGATTTTTGTAACAATTCAAACTAACAATTATTAATAGTTTCAAACAACAATAACAACTCGGGCCCCAAAATGTCCACCCGCAGGATATTCTTCAATGTAAATGTCAATGTAAATTTAGAGGATTTTCTTTTTTTTTGTAGTTTTTTTTTTGTTGCAGGCCAGGTGAAAATTGTTTGATACATTTAAATGCATTGAAATGCACTGTAAAGCTCACTTAATAGCATATTATAAATCACATTCAGTATGCAGAATTTTATTATTTGTCCTCACCATGATATTTGATGAGCAGGGGTGATCGAGAACCAGTTAGATCCTCAGGAGGTCCCGTTATGGCTGCCCGATAGGTTGAAATTATAGGCTGGTGGTCATGTCGATGGGTTCGCCCTGGAAAAAGAGAAACAAGTCTTTTGACACTACTTATCAATGAAAACAAACAACAACAAAGAAACAAAAAATGCAATATCTCACCATCTTCAGCTCTACCATGAGCCATAAAGAGGTAGTACATCTGGTCCAGATCGAACCTATTCAGATTCTCAGGTGGGAGGTGTATGTCTCTGCGGAAGCTACACTGAATCACTCCATCTGAGAGCCTCCATGCTATGCCTTTCAAAATGTTCTAAGAATGAATAGACCACAGATCAATGCATATTAATGATCTCTTGGAGTTTTTTATATTTAATTGTTTTAGATAGTTCTTTCTTTCTTCCATTGAACATAAAAAGAGTACCAGGGCTGTCAAGCTTAAAAAAATTATTGAAAAGCAATAAAGCTTATTTTCCGAATGTTCTGAAGTCATACGATAGTATTGTATGAGAAGCAGAAGTAAATTTATTTACTTTGTTGTTAAACAAAAACCTTGGTTGTCAATATTCACTTTCATTGTTTGAAAAAGAACAGCATTGACATTCTGCTAATCATCTTCTTCTGTGTGTGCTGTTTGTTAGAAATTTTCACTGTTCAATCAATACAATTATACCTGTGAAGAGATTATCGGGTGCGTCCGTCCAGAAACATATGCAGCCTTGATGTCAACTCTGTCTGTGTCTCTGATACACAAATAGACATCATCGTTCCCCTGAAATGCAACACAAATTTGCTATTATTTATGCTAATTCATACTATTAGTCATTCAAAGGCATAATAATATTTCACAGTGTTATTTTACTATCATAGATAAACTATTAAAGTTTTTAATAATATTTTGAATTAGTTTTTATCTTTCGATTTCATTTTAATTTTAGATAAAGTTTTATTCATTTTGTTGTGTTGTCATTTTTTTTTGTCTGTAATTTTTTTATTTCAGTTTAATTTTAGTTATTTTATATATTTTTTTTTCATATTTTATTTATGTTATCACATAATATTTAATTTATTTTTATTTTCTATTTCAAGCAACGGTAATATTTTTTACCGTTTTAGTTAACTATAATAACCCTATTTTCATACTTATTCACCAGAGATTATAGTGTGTGTCATGCTACAAAAGGTCAAAGTTATATTTGTTATACAATAAGATGTGAAATAGGAAATTATTATAAGCGTCTGTCTATATTACCATCCATTTGTCCTGTGATAAGGCAAAGGACACATAACCCTCTGCAGGTCCACTGAGCTCAAACATCACATTACTTCCCAATGCACTAAAAGACAGGAAGTGACACGTAGTGTCATTTTGTGGGTCACAGCCCTCTGGATCTCTCAGACAGGACTTTCTGCCTCCACAGCCCTCAGAAGTGAACTGAAGAGGAGATGAGAATATTATTATTTATTAGTATTATTTAGATATTCCAAATATTTTGAGGCTGAAAGGGTCACAAACTCATGACAGTGTGTAAACTGCCACTCCAGTAACTTTATCATCGTTTGACTCACCGAATGTGACAGTATTGTGGAAGTTGTGGTTTGGGCACCAATGGACCCACCAAAGGTAGTTTGTGGTGGAGGAGCTGCACCATTTTGGGACACCACGGGACCTGGAATCTTCACCCAAAATTCTTTATAGCCTCGAGCAACAGTTACCCTGAAAGTAAAACCTACATAAATTTTCATAACTAACAAGTTGAGTAAAAACAGCATTGAATACTTACAGAAACTGCACACTGGAAGGAGAGTCCGATGGTGCTACCCAGATCACCTGGACCTCAGTCTTATGGGAATCACTGGTATGACTCACAGCAGAGCCCTGTGAATATTGAAAATGACGAATAACGAAGAAAAAAAAGGGACTTTGTACTTTAATTTCATATATTATTTAATTCAGTCAGTAACAAATACTAGAATACTAAAAAATATATACACTCACTAATACATACATATAGTCTTAATGAGTGAGTCATTCATTCATTCATCCGATTTGTTCAAACAGCCAATTCATACAAGAATGAAGCTAGTGAATGGGTCACTGAATCATTGGCTAACTCAATTTGTTCAAAAACGTAACGAAACACTGCTGTTCTGCTGTGGCTCTATTTGGAACTATTTTCATTAGTGAGCAAAACAGACAATATTTACAATACTGTGTCTAAAATGTAACACAATATTAACTTCTTGTTTATTAAACTACATTACAAAACCAATATCACATTTGCAATTGTGCAAATATGAGGGAAAAACAGCACTCTTGTTCGTGTGATATTGCTAAACTATATCATATGATGTAAATATAAGAAGAAAAAAAAAACATCTTAAATTTTGGGGGCATATAATTGAATTTTAATAGGCTACATCCCACACGAGTCGTTGTCCTGCATCATGTTTGTCACTAAGCAAATGCACGCAATGTAAGATGATGTACAGGTCTGGATGTGGCGGAGTGCATTAATAATTTTAATTATTGTGTATAATTATACTATATTGTGTATACAGTGTTATTTTTTTAGGTCTTGTAGTAAATATTTTGTTCTCAATAAAAGGATTCTGTAATCACTGACCTCTTTATTGTCACACTTAAGAAGCTGAGATATGTCAGGACTGATTAACTTAAACGATCCAACGATTTCATTAAGATCCCCAGCATTTCTTGCTTCTATGAGGAATCCTTTAAAGTAATGTTTGCCCTCTGAAGACGCCATTGATAATGTCACTGTAAATATGAACAACAGTTGATATATTTTCAACATATATCTGCAATATTTTAAAAGCCTTAACATATGACAAGTACCAAAATACTGCTACAGCATTCCTACCTTTGATTTCATCTCCTGGGCTGAACTGGGATTTGTCTGCTATGATGTTGAATGGTGGATGTTTGGTGCTGGGGTCAGAGTCATGTTGGGGTGTCATGTCCCCACAAGCCACTTCAACTTTTCCATGACTGAAGCAAAAGACTGTCTCTGAACATACTGAGAGCAGCAGCAATGCAATCCGCATATTCATGAGAACCTGTAATGAATAGATATTTACTGCAAAACCATTGATAAGTTGACAAGCAATCCAAGTGTTGCTGAAAAAGGTGGTAGTAGCATGGTACACCTGCAAAAAAACATGGTACTACTTTGAGTTGGCAGAATATATAGAACTTAACTTCATGTCCATAATTCATTGCTAAAAATACATATAGTCAACTGTGTGTTACAATATTTTGTAAAAAAAAATGCTTGTTGTCTAATCATCCTTTTCTGAGAAACCTGCAAATAAAGATAAGGAGGGGGCTGCAACTGTTACTGACTCCAGAACAGAAGAGTTTCACCATTCATGGACACTGATCTGATCTATATAAATGAATGCAGAAATAATAAAGCCACAAATTCAAGTTGAAGTTTTGATGACATACACTGGTGGATTTTGTTAATGTAAAGTGAGATATATGGGTCAAGGTCATGTTTCGTCTCGTGCATCAGGCTGATGACATCTACTGATACAGATAGATAAGAATAAAAGTGTTAATGGAAGCAAAGTAGAACTTCGACCCCTTTCATAAAAACAAGCATCAAACGTACACAAACAGCACCTTTACACTGATACTGTAGCAGCAGCTACTTCCTAGTTGAGAAGACGTCTGCACATGTGTACAAAAAATAAGCAGGCCAAACAGACAGGCAAGCACAATAAAATGCTGACGGAAGGATAAAACAAGTACATATGCTTACCTCCATTCATTTAAAATAAACTACAATTGCACTATCACAGAAAATGAAAACACGCGGTTGTACTTAAGTTGCCTGACATGCGGTACGATATGGGCGGTCTCTTTGCGGAGTGGCGTGTGATTGGCTGAACGCCGTGCGCAAGCGATAGTCCTCACTACAGAACACAAGATCCAGGGGGCGTGGTTGGATCCAGATCCAACTCCTCCTACCTTACATATACCTACCCGTCTCCACCCCCTGATCCCTAAACCCACCCA